CTGTCAGCAAGTTTCATGAAAATCAGGCCAGTAGTTTTATTGTAATTCTGCAACAAACAGCCACAAACAGAACCTCCTTGGCATGGTTACTAAAGCTGTGTGTCGTCAGGACATCTACAAACACAGAATCTGATTGTATGTCGGCCTCCTTGAACAGCATGGTTCTCTGTCTTTCTGTGACACTATTCCCCTTACTGTCTCTTGTCCTCGTGTCTCTCAGTGCCACCACGCCCACGCTGAAGCACCGTCTGCAGAAGAGCGTGGCAGCGGTTCAGTGGAAGCCTCTGTGTGCGTCGGCGCTCGCTGTCGCCTGTCAGAACTGTTTACTGGTGTGGCACGTCGACCCCTGCTCCCTGTCCACCAGGTGTGTGAAGTCAAGATGTGTTTATAGGTTGCTTTTGACCGGTTCGAGGAGACTTGGATTATACTGCACAAGTTTTGTGAGAGTTTTTAAACACATTTTTTTAATTAAGGGCAGCACAATTAAAGAATTGTTATCGAAATTGCAATATGGACTAGTTGGTAAAGGCAAGTGTGTGAAAATATCATCCAGAATGAAATATTGTGGGCTAACATCGGTGTTCACCAGACTTAATTAAAAGTCCTTGTTTGGTAGAAATCCTCTCAAAACATTGCACCATGACTTTATCATTATATATTTTTGATGTGAAATATGTTTAATAAATGATAATTCTCTCTGATATCGCAAATCATGTTGCAATTACAATGCCAACATATATAATGCCAACTAGTCATTTACTCCAAATTATGCTGCCCTTTTTTTATATAGTTTTTCTATCGTTAACAATTCTATTCATCAAGAGTTACTCCTGTTTGTACTGATTCAGGTTAACATGGAGTGACAATTGATTTGAAATAGATTTTAGGGCTGAAGTATTTCTTTAATAATTATTAGTTTTTATTGTCTATCCTGGTTATTGAACACCAGTACCTATACAAAAAGAAGAATTAAGACTTTCTTCAATTTCACAGTGCATCCCTGTGCTCCTCTTCCTCTCCAGGCCTTCCTCCGGATGCGCTCAGGTTCTGTCTCAGCCCGGTCACTCTCCCGTCACGTCCATCTCCTGGTCGCCCAGCGGCTCTCTGCTGGTGTCCGCCTCCCCCATGGACACCGCCATGATGGTACGAGGCAATCCAGTTATTCTTAAATCGAATTAATCTCGCATTCATTGGTTCACAAAGTGTGTGTGTGTGTGTGTGTGTGTGTGTGTGTGTGTGTGTGTGTGTGTGTGTGTGTGTGTGTGTGTGTGTGTGTGTGTGTGTGTGTGTGTGTGTTGTGTATCTTCAGGTTTGGGACGTGGCTGCAGAGAGCTGTGTGCCTCTTCAGCGTGTCGGAGGGGGGGGGGTCACCTTCCTGTCCTGGTCCCCTGACGGCAGCCATGTTCTGGCCTCCACGCCCTCAGCCCTGTTCAGGTCAGAGACTTCAGAGAACCTTTTCTAATCTTACCCTCATTTTAGAGCTACAGTAGATACAGTATGTCAAGCTGCCAATGAATATGCGAAATGCCTTGTGTGTTATAATAAAGACTGGCTCTCATGAATATTTGTAAGGTTGTGAGGGATTAGTGGAATAGTCTGAGTGTAGCAGGTGTTATAAGATAATAAGTGGGCAGTCATTTGAGTTTTTAAACTTGGATAATTATCGTGTCTTTCTTCAGGGTTTGGGAAACCAGGATGTGGACCTGTGAGCGATGGCCATGTGTGAAAGGACGCTGCCAGGTAAAACCTGTCTCTGTTTAAAAGTTATTGTAAGTTAGTAGATGTGCAGAATAATGGGCCACTGCTCGCTCTAGAAGGAGAATGAAGAACAACCTTAAAAACAAGGTGTTGTAAAGAAGAAGGTTGTGTTATGTTTGTTTTGGAAGCAATGTTACTTCTTTAATAATCATTGTTAACAAAAATATAATTTAATTTAATCCTTCAGAGAAAAGTTAAGATATTGCTCTCATTGATTTAACAAAGTAATACCTTACTAATTTAATTAAATGTGTTATACACTGCTCAGAAGCACCAACAAGGTTAAGAGTAATTTTGTATATCAAAATGTAATCTATCTGCTTGCTGTTAAAGTGTAATCAGTTAAATTAGTACAAACAGACGAACAGCCTAGAGCGTTGTCTAGGCGGCAGTTTTAAATAATATGTTTAGATATTTGCAGATGAGTACTGAGATGGTCTGCTGGCTTTTTACCCCAGTCCCAGAAGCGTGTGAAGTTCGCCCCTTCTCTTCAACCGTACATATGGAGGAGACTAACCGAAAGCGGGTCATCATACGCTCTACCTTCACTATGGCTCTCCCAGGTCCCATACTCTCTGCTTATACACAAAATATGCAGGAGTTTTCTTCTTTAAGCTTGAAGGTACCTCA